AAAAAATAATCTTTAAAAATAGGTTAGTTTATCAGTGAAATGGTCAGTGAGTAGTTCTTAAGATGGTTGTTGTGCTGCAGTCACTGCGAACGTTCCCTGTTGGTCTGGACTGCCACATGTCTTTCGTAAAGCACATTTTGCCACCCTGTTCTGCCCACAATCCCACTTCTCTCTATGACCGGCCAGTAGGATATGTTGGTTCAGCAGCTGCAGTTTGATCTCTCTTCAGTTTTATCTGCCAGGCACACACAAGCCAGAAGCTCCCCAAGCTTTGAGAGGGAAATACTGGCCGCTGCTGTAGTGGACATCTTGCTCTTTTGTATACTTGGCTGGGCACTCAACTAAGCCATAAGAATTATGACGCTCTTACTGCTCTTGGTTTTCTTGTTTTATTGTCTTTTTTTTCCCGACTTTTTTCCATTTCAGTGGCTAACATTTATTGTTGTGGCTCATTAATAGGTGGATATCTGGAGAAAGTACTGCCTCACTATGCAGACAGTTTTGAAAACAGTCGATGGATTTGAAAATAGCATTAGATGCTTCGATCATTAAGTTTAGAAGGGAAACAGCATTGTACCACTAAGAGAAGTTTTCCTACATTCCCTGTGCACAAAGATCGACCAAAGTACACACACACATACTGTTCATTCATACACACACTAACCGAAGCCAGCCAGTTTCCAGAGGGAGCTAGTGATTAGCATGCAAATCTGTAAAGACCTAGTTATTCTATCTACCTCTTCACCCTTCTCTCTGTCTCTCTCTCGCACACACACACTGACAAACACACCATGTTTCCTCCAACACTATTCTAATGAGGTGATGACCAGTCTCTTGTTATAATTGCCTCAAACTCCTTTTAATTTCTTCTGAGCGTATTAATCATACATAGAGTTATTTAAAATCGCATAAATTAATCTTAGATTAAACAGATCCTTCAAAGACTTCAAACAATTAAAGAGTTAGGTAGAATTTCCCCTGGGTTTAGGCCATTTCTATTTGAGCGGAGCAGTTGCAGGTGATTATCCCATTTTGATGTGGCCAGACGGTGATTAATGTAACTTTTAAATGAGTCCTTCCCCCGTCTCACCTCTGTCCACGCGCTGCTACAGCAGAAAGTCACAACACCTTCAATGACCTAACTAAGGAGTGCTTATTCACTCTGTATTTATAACTCTTCCCTTACAGGTTTCATACTTAATTTAATTTGCAAGTTTTTTTAATTATTACGTGATTATGCGTGTGTGTGTGTGAGTGAGTGTGCGACAGAGGATGTGTTCCTAACGTCCTTAATATCAGGGTGTGTGCATCTGTATGTATCCGCATCAAAGCAAGACTCTTTAGGCAGCTTGTCTTTAATATAGTGGTGGCAGTCTAAAGCAGTTTTTCCCAACCTGGGGGTCTTGTGTGTTGGGTAGTTGGGTTGATATAACACAAAGTAGATAAAAGATAAATATTTTTATCATTGTGAACTTTTAGCTTTTTTCTTGTGAAATACTGGATAGTTTCTCCTCATCGGGATTCTACAAGCTATTAAACTTGAGCCCTTTGAGTGGTCGGAAGACTAGAAAGGTGCCCTATAAGGGCAGTCCATTTACCAATTAAACTATTAAAATGAGACAATATGAGAAGGGAACATCACCCTTTAGTTGAGCTGCTCACAGACATTCGACCTGTACACAAAGCTGGGCTACAAAGAGTCACATACGCAGACAGGTGCAAGGGGACTGGTTCCCTTTCCAGATGTGTATTCAGGTTACATACATTGGAAGCTCTTGTTGCCACCTGCTGTGTAAAGATCAGTGTCTTGCTTCAAACATTGTTCGATATTTGTGGTGTGTCGCCAGCACTTGAAACCCACTACCTTTAGAAAGTAACAATGACATTTGTTATCTGTTCTGGAGCTTTCAAATAGATGGATGGAGTTTGTCTAGTTGTCATGGAAATAGTCATATTGACTTAAAAGTTTTGATTGAAAGTTCCTTCTTGACCTTGGAAAAACAGTAGTTGACTAAACAATGTCAACACAAGGTCTATTTAGTGGATGTTCGGCTCTGGAGCCTTCCATCAAATTACGCCATCTAAGACGTTTATTGTCTAATTTGACTTTCTTCCTTGCCTGCTATCTATCGTGCATACTGTCTCTAGTTCTTTCTTTTTTTTTTACTTTCTTTACTTCTTTTGCTACTTTTTACTTACTACCTACTTTACCTACTTACTTTTTAATCAGGCGTTTTTCATTCAGAAAGAAAGATCAGATCCCAACCACAGCTTCAGGTGAAGAAATATAGTATGTGTCTCTGCCAAGTTAATGTTGTGTTTCAACAGTGTCTTTGCATGTGTGCATGTATGCTGGTCGAGTGTTGTATGACAAGCCACGCACCTTCATCCAGGTCAAATTCCAGCAGATGTCTCCGGCCTGTCAGGGTTAATTTCTGGAGCAGAGGTGGAAAGTTGGATTTTAAAGACATCACTCAGGACTTCCTTCTTTATTTCTGTCTCACTCCCTCTCTACTGAGGCAAGGAAGAATGATTGATGAGATGGGTATTCAGCACATAGGGGCACCCAGGAGCGTCCACTCCACCCGTCTCATACTGACACACACACACATACACATACACACACACACCCTCACACTGATATGAGAGTAATTAACCTCAGACTGTGTTAACCCCAGCTGCCCATTAGAAGGACAACAGGATTGATGGGGCTCCCCCAGTCCTTCACAATCTCTACATTTAGTGCAGGATTAGAGCACACAGGAATGTGTTACCATTTCCCTTTCAAATGTAAAACTGCACCAGATTAAAAAATGTGCTGAAAGAATGTTCACAGTAGTGAGCAAAGGAAGAATCAAAGTCAAACAAAAGTTTAACATTAATTTTGGTAAAGGAATCACAATACTACTATAACTTTAAAATGTATTCACTGTATTCACCCTTCATGTGACTTTATTTTCATATACTGCACATATTCTTCAGTTTAACATATTTTCCAGTGTAACCACAAATAGACAAGAAGGATCCCAGGAGGAAGAAAGTGGACCGTCACTACCAGTCTGTCCTACTTTGTTACTAATCTTACATTGTCTGCACCAGTTTGGGTGTTGCTGGGGAGTATTTAACGTTGTTCCACCCCCAAAAAAAGAGCAGCCTAGTAAGTGTGAGCACCTGCATCGTGGCCAGTCAACTGATCCGAACACTGTGAGAATATAAGTCACGGGTTGAGGCTGTGAAGAAAGGCAGATTACATCGTGTAGCTTGAGTTAACACAACATGCAAGATTAATAGAAAAATACACAGTCATCCCGGTTCCAGTTAACAGTGTTGGTCTCTTGTTGTTAAGGACAGATATCGTTGAAATCAGTGTTGACAAGTTCATTTAAACTGACTGACCGCAGCGTTGTTTATCTAATTGGACATCTAGACACCACAAATAAAATTCATGGTCAGCCTCAGTTGAAGTGTCTCATTTACAACCTCGTCCCCTCTCACCTCTGACCCCTTCCGTGTCCCCTGTGACCTCTGGCTCTGGTCTGCAAAGTCCCCCAGATGAGCCTGGTGATTGGGACTGCTGTCATTCAGATGTCACATGTGATGTCTCTGTTTTAGTCCTGCAGCAGTAACAAGTGAACCCTGCCAGCGTTTAACAAACTTGATGAGCTACCAATCGACAAAGACCGGTCTTTGTTTTTCAGGAGTTCAATTATTGGCACTATTGATGAAAATCTGTAGAAATTAAAACTACTCTTAATTGAAATAAAATCAAATGAAAACATTTCATAAGTTAATACAAAGATGGTTTGTGTGGCTGTTTCCTTTTATTACAAATCTCGTTTTACAACTTGTGATGATTCATGTAGATCATTAAAGATATTTCTTTAAAATGACCCGACAGGCCATTACTTAAACGTTTGGCATTTAAAACTAAATCTGTTGGACATAAATATTTAAGAGGGTTTAATGATGTTCCTGTTCAGTTTATTTGTATTTTATTATCATTTCTTCAATTGTGATTGAGAAGAATTAAACAAGCAGATCTAAACTATACACTTCACATAAACGTGTAATAATGTTTGTGGCTCCAATCTGTTTGATAATAAAAATAATATTGTAGAAAAGGTCTAAACATTTTTAATAGCTGGAATATAATTTTTCTCGGTTTTTATGAGAAAGCTAATTTTTTTTATAGCCACTTCAGTGCTTGACAATTATTCTGAAGGTCAAATGTAAACTGGAAAGTGAAAAGATGTTTTTAAAAAATTATGAAAAAAACTGATTCTAAATTCTGTCGAGGTATAAATTCTAATTTGTTTTTTTATTGCAATTGGGGCAAAATTTAAAAACAACACAGTCCCATTTTGTGCCGTTACATTCATTTATTCACTTTTTTTTTTAACTCAGCTCATTATTGTTAGTATTATTATAGTATTGTTAGTAAATCCAGGGTTTTTACAAAAAGGAATTGTTCCAAATATGTGTTTCTCTTCCATATAAAACAAAATAAACCCAGACTTGTCAGTTGTTTTCTTTACAGAAATGATTTAACACTTCCGTCTTTCTCTGTATTTCTTAGGATCATTCCTTCATCATACAGTATAATGACGGTAATGCAGAGGTGGTGTCCATGTGGGTTTGTCGCTGTCTGGAGGAGAGACGAGCTCAGCAGGCTCAGGGACACGTCTGATGTCCTCCTGCTGTCCGCCCATGATGGACCAGGACGTTTGAAACCTTCAACACTTATCAAAGGCTTCAAGGTCCAGTACATCCATATGCACTGTACAAGTGACTTGATATACACGGACAAAAATCACTAGATGTTGAATACTTTAGGTGAGTAAATCTCACCTGGAGTGTGTGGGTGTGCCATGCGCTGTGACATTGAGGATCTCACATCTTTTGAATTTTGCATCCAAAAAGTGCACAGAGATTTCTTTCGAGCGTGAGGTCTCCATCTGCAGCTTCGTCCCCACGTTTTTTTTAAGAGCATACAGAACTGCAGCGAGCGTCACAGTTGTCTGAGTAAAGAGAAACGGTCCTGATTTACAGGATCAGTGACAATAAACAAGTTCAAAGCATAAGACTGCAATACGCTGACAGAGTTTTTGCTCTGTTTCTAGGATGGTGTATCAAATAACCATCGTGTGCTTTACTGTTGACAGCCCTCTAGTGAATGTTAAGGTTTTTGCCTGTGAGTAACTGCCCATGTGTGTGCCTGTTTTTCCAGTAGTGTAATTTATTACCTCAACAAACTTTTAAGTTGTCACTGTAATAAGAAAACTTCCCCCCAAAATTGTTACTGTTTTAATACCAGGAGTAAAACATCTGTATCCAGTCATTCCCTAACATTGTGAGGTTGGGGTGTTACATGTATACAAAGCTCTCTCTGTCTTAAGAGGTGTTGGAATGAAACAAGCCTGCGGTATCAATGAGTTTGAAGCACTGACACACATTTTTTTTTCATGACTCTCAAGCTTACTGACCAAACAGTTTATTCGAGGGAAACCCCACCCTTGTTTTATTTTAATGTTTAAAACTTTTTTTAACTCAGTTGCACATCTTTTATTTCCATTTGCAAGCCAATGCTCGACGTTGAATGCCACTGAATCGACCCTTTGGAGAGGACATTGTGCTGAAGCAGTTCTCCTTATTACTTCAACTGCTATTTGTTTTTCTTTGAAAGAGTAATGTAAAAGAAACCGTAACTCTTCCTTTCCTTACAAACTAACACTTTATTAATTCTAACTTGTTTTATCCACTTTCTCACCAGTAAATCCTTTCTTTAGCTAAATATGTCATGTACTATAAGGAGAGTTTACGTTTCTATTGCATTGCCTCGTGAGTGCTGTAGCGGGGGAAACGATAATGCCGTGCACTAAACACCAAAGACCACTGACGACCCAAACAATGGATCACATGGATTTCTCATGACTGAGGCGAACGTAAAATGAATCGCTTGACACGGCCTTTATGTGTAGCTGTTGAAATGTGTAATGCTCAAGTGCAATTAACTTCCATTACTTCCACAAAGGCACAGTAAACGCAGCCTACACTGATATGATGTGTGCGGTGTGAGCATCGCTGGAAACGAATGTAACGGCAGTACATCAGTGCAACAGAAAATGCACCCAACTTTTTGCAACCAACGGGAACCACTTGACTCAATAAAGCGTGTAGGAAAAGGCCATATCAACAGTCAGTGTTTGGTTTGTCCACTCTGGGCTACTGTAGAAACATGGCAGTTTAACATGGCGCGACTCCATAGAGGAGGACCCAACTTCCCTCTGTAGATAAAACGGCTCATTCTAAGGTAACCAAAAAGACAACAATTCTTATTTCCAGGTGATTATACATTAATTAAAACATACCTATAAATATAATTCAATTTCTGCAAATAGATCATCCTAAATGTTGCACACTGGACCTTTAAGCATCAGTTTATTTTACATGTTGAGTAGTTTCTCCATTACACTGCTCAGTGTAAAACAATCAAACAAAATCAAATGTGATCCATCATACCATTCATAATTACTACTCTAATCTACTCTATAAGATTTCTTGTATATTTAGATGAACAAGCCCACACTCGGTCCATTTTTTAATCATAATTTTGTCAATCATCTTATTTCCAGAATGGATTATTATTATTATTATTATTACTGTTCATTTCACTGTTGTCCCACAATGAAAAACTATTTGAAGATGGTAGAGTGGCATCTTCAGGAACAGTGTGAAAACAAGAAAGGTCAAGTAGCTCTTTCTACAACTACGAATTACAATTAAAGGTTTTGGTAAAAGAGTATTTTTGATGAAAAATACCAAGGTGAAGAATTAACATTTACTCTTTGGACAAAAATTTTACTTTCTGTTGAAGAAGGAGCTTTCAAATCACAGTTTAAGCAGTATGCATCGTATCATTTCAAGAACAAAATGTCTTTGAATTCGGACGCAGCAGCAGCCCACACCACTGCTCCTTTTGGCAATGGGATTGGTCAGAGTAGTTTAACGGGTAACGACTTCTCAGAGCGTCCTCTACTGATTGTGTTCAGAACTTTTCCATATCTAACAGTTTAATTATTGTTAATAAATGCTTATAACAATGTGCTTCATTCTGTGTTACATCTGTTGGGATTCCAGGTCATTCCTGACTAATTGTTTATGTTTGTTAAACAACCAGCAGAGGCGCTGTGTGTCAAGATCCTTCACGTATTTCATTATTTGCCTCAGAAACCAGAAAATGAGGCACAGCCTTTTCTTTTTATAAATATATTGTCACTTAACTTTGGGAGGGATGTCTGTAAAAGATGCCATTAATTTTAATTGTTAAAAAAATTGGTGAAACTCAAAATTTGTTCCAGTAACTGAAATACAACAGTTGCACAACGAATAAAATATGTGCTCCGCATTATACCACTCGTATCTTTAATTATATCCATCTAACTGTCACTTGGGTAAGTCATGTACCAAACTGACATCCACATTACATTAAGTTGGCCTTAAAAGTAACTGAAGCTATAAATACTTAGCAATCTAGTTTAACTAGTAAATAAGGGTGGAGAAAAAAAGAGGAGTGTGTAGTGGCCACTATGAACACTCTGCAAATGTTAATGTTTTCTTGCATCTCAAACGAAACCAAAAAGAGAATAAATATTTCTGTACTTTAAGCTCCAAAAGCTCAGATGTGTCTTTTATGGTTTGGTATGTTGTACTCACTGACTGTGATTTTTATAAATACATCTGCATTGTCAGTGGGAATTTACTTATTTATTTTTTTTTACTTTTCAGTCTGCTTACAATGGAGATCACCTGTTGTGACTCTTGCCCGGTTTATTTTTCCTGTTTTTGCCAAAACCACAAAGCATTAAGTCAGTGATGGGACTCAGCAGAAATACTAGTGCTGTGATGTTACTGGCTGATTATGGCCTTTTCTGTAATTATCTGTGTTGGCACATATTCCAACCATAATGCACAAATAATAAAAAGTATTTAAACAATAATTTGGGTAAGTTTGAGATTTTGTTCCTCACTTTTATTCCATATATTCAGTCTACATGTTGATTTTCTTTTTAAGGGAAACAGATTTCACTGCTTTCACACAAATGTCACAAATATGACGTTATCAGTTTGAGGGTGCAATCACCCTGCACCGCTCATTGTAGTAATATGTTACCTTCAAACTCTTTGTCTTCACCGTCTGGGATGTTTCAAATAGGTCCCTCTGTAGATTAAATTTCTCTGTACTGAACATTTTTGTACATTTAGAAGAAATATAGCTAGTACTGTACATCTGGCTGACTTTTATTCTGGTCATTCACTTAATTTATCAGCTTGAATTTTGGTACATCAAGCTAAAACTAATGCATAAATCTTACCTTCATGCTCCGTTTGTAGAGAGGTGATTAAACTTTATAGTCATATTCTAAGCTGTAGTTAGTTGTCCTGTTATATTGCGTAATACATAATATTTAGGAAAGGTTACTGTATTCAAAGCTGTGTCCCAGCTCCATGCTACATATGAATTCTGAGCTGTTTTTTAATGTGTAAAGCATTTAAAGTACAATTAAGTTAAGTTATCCTTTATTGATCCCTGTAGGAAAATGTATTCTCTGCATTTGACCCAACCTAAGTACTAGGAGCAGTGGGCAGCTACTGTGCGGCGCCCAACTCCAGATCTGAGCCAGGGCCTTGGTCAAGGGTTCTGACTGGAGAATTAACCAGTGGGGGACACCGGGGAGACGGGAACGATTTGAACCCAGGACTTTTTTGCTATGAGGCAACCACTGAGCCACCCTGCCTCAGAATACTTAAAGATGTAAGTATGCATATAATGATTTTTGATGAGGTGCCTTGTGCCAAGACAGCTCCTGAAACATCAAATTAAAACACAAACTGGTATCTAATTCTGATGCTCGGTCTACTCTCATTGAAATAAATGGGCTAGACTGTCACTGTAATGTAATAAACACCACAAAGCCTTTAAAAGGACCTTAAGGTTCAGCAATTCACAAAAACAACATTATAGCCTTCATGAATGTAGGATTTACTGCAGGACCGTTGTATTAGACTGCATTAGATTTAGCTAGGTGTACCTAATAAACTGGTAACAATCCTGATGGTGTTTTCATTAAAATTACAATAACAAGAGTTGGGACACCTCTAGGACATGGCCCCAGCTCTTCACATGGCTTTACATATATAGAAGAATGATGGTCGCTTCATTAATAGTTTGACATTTGCATGTCTCTTGGTAGAATGACCCAAACCTGTGAGCACCTCCCTATCTTTAGTTCAATTGCAATTTGCATTTAATAATTAATCTTAGTCAACCTTTAATTAACGTCAGCCTTATTCTTGGCTATTAATTTGTGCATTAACCTGTGAAAAGTAGTTCAAAGTAGACATACATACCCCAGAAAGGAGACTGTGCTTAACTTGTGTTGTTTTTTTTCTCTTAAAGCATCAATTATGTGCCACGTTTCTTGTTCCACAGGTTAACACAGTTAGGGAAAGGAAAGCTCTTAAACGCCTGAACATGAATCACCCTCAAACCATCAGCTCCTGATGTCGAACTCAATCACCTCCAAAACAATAAGTGCATACATTTACCAGTCGGATAGAGTTTATTAGAGGATCTAAAGTAAAACATGGACATCTTGATAACAGAATTTTAACCTAAAAACCATTGATTGCTCTCATTCATTTAACCAAGCACACAACCCCTCAACAGCATCTCATGTAGAGCTAGACCTCACAAACTGATGTCCTGATGAGCCTCCGATGGTAATGAATTGTGTTTTTAAGGTAAAATAAATCCACAACTACCCAAACAAGCCCTCGTGTTTTTCATACGGGCGGCTGTGGCTCAGAGGTAGAGCGGGTCGTCCCCCAATCGGAAGGTTGTTGGTTCGATCGCCGGGTTACCTTCCTGGCACGTGTCGACGCTCTCTCTCGCGCAAGATATGGAACCCCAAATTGCTCCCTGATGCATACCATAGTGTGTGGGAATGTGTTAGTTTCTGTTTCGATGGACTTCTGTTTCGATGTGACGGCGTGTGAAGGGTGAATGTGGCACGTAGTGTCAAAAAAGCGCCTTTGAGTGGTCGGAAGACTAGAAAGGCGCTATAGAAAAAAAAAAATGGACCTGTATATAATATAAATGCTATTACATTTTCTGTTCTTTGTCTGTTAATGTTAAAAATGTCTCAATATAAAGACTGATGAATATGGCTTATCTTAATTTGTCCAAAAATATGCTTTGAAAAAGACAACGATGCTTCTAACACATCAACTCTGAGGACAAAATGTTCCCTTGCTGCCTGATATATCCCACCCACTGACAGGTGCCATGTTAACAAGATAATCAGTGTTATTCACTTTACCTGTCAGTGGTCAGAATCGTATGGCTGATC